CCTCAACGTAATTTATCTGGATTTTGAGCATTTCCTCTCTTCATTTCTCCGTCCTAATTTCGATCTGAAATCCTCCCTGTAAGTTTCTGGGTTTCTCCCTCTCTCTCTAAATTCATCGAATTTTCAGCTTTTCATTCCCGAGATTTTGAAAAATTTTGTTCATACTTTGTGGGGATAATCAAGTGGGTTTGTGTTTTTTCTAGGAGAGATTCGATATGGGGAAATCTGGAGGAAGGAAGAAAAAGGGTGGTGGTGGTAACAATGTATCGAGTTCGAATCATGTCAATTCTTCTGAAACTACAGGATTATCAAAGCCAACGATTGTTAACGGTGGTGGTGGTGTTGATTTCGATGCTTCGATATTCTTGAAACGTGCACACGAGCTTAAGGAAGAAGGTAATAAAAAGTTTCAAGGAAGAGATTACGTTGGTGCTCTTGAACAGTATGAGAATGGGATTAAACTTATTCCTAAGAACCATCCTGATCGAGCTGTGTTTAATAGTAACCGAGCTGCTTGTTTGATGCATATGAAACCAATTGATTACGAATCTGTGATTTCTGAATGTACTATGGCTCTTAAAGTCCAGCCTGGTTTTACTCGTGCTTTGCTTAGGAGAGCTAGAGCTTTTGAAGCTGTTGGGAAGTTTGATTTAGCTGTTCAGGATGTGAATGCGTTGTTGGGTTCTGATCCGAATCATAAAGATGCAGGAGAGATTTCGATGCGGTTGAAATCCGCTTTGGGTCCTCAGCAAGATTTGCAGAGCCGTCCTTCACCTGCAGCTCTTGGTGCATCGGCTGCATTAGGTGGTCCGATTGCTGGACTCGGTCCTTGTTTACCGTCTCGTCCTGTTCACAAAAAGGGAGTGACTTCGCCTGTTGGGTCTGTTACATTGCCTAATGTTAACAATGGTAGGGTAGAGCGTTCACAGGTGACGAATGCGGTGACAGAGAATGGTTCTGTGAGTAAGACTCAGATGCCGAAAGTTGTGTTGAAGCCGGTTAATGATTCATCGAAAGGTTTGAAGGTGGATGGGTTGTCTTCTTCATCTGTTGCGGTTGTTGGGAAGGCTCAAGAGAAGAGAATTCGGTGGAGGCCGTTGAAGTTTGTTTATGACCATGACATAAGGTTGGGTCAGATGCCTGTGAACTGTAGGTTTAAGGAGCTGAGAGAGATTGTGAGCAATCGTTTCCCATCTTCGAAGGCGGTTTTGATAAAGTACAAGGACATTGACGGAGATTTGGTCACGATAACATCAACTGCAGAGCTCAAATTGGCGGAATCTGCTGCTGATAGTCTTTTGACAAAAGAGCCTGATACTGACAAATCTGATTCTGTTGGGATGCTGAGACTGCATGTTGTTGATGTGAGTCCTGAGCAAGAGCCTCTGTTGAT